ACAATGGGGAAATGACAGGGGCCAGCATCAAGGGCAAGGGTCCCAGATATTGGGGAAGTGAGTCTTCTTGGGTGTTGGGAGGTTCTACAAGGGTCATGAGCTGCCAGCACTGCTCCATGGGATTGTGATGAGCATGGCAATGGACGCTTCCCACTCTGGCCAGAGATGCTGTTTCTAGAAATCAGCCAATCTGCAGTGGCCTTGAAGACACCATACGGAGAACAGCAAGAGAAGACTGGTGTGTGTGTGTGTGTGTGTGTGTGTGTGTGCGCGTGCGTGCGTGCGTGTGTGTGTGTGTGTGTGTGTGTGTGTGTGTGTGTGTGTGTGTGTGTGTGAGACACTGGATGAAAGCACAGATCTCCTGTGGCTATGTTAATGTTATTCTTTATTCTACAGCGCTATCTAAGCAGGTGCAGCCTCCAGCTTCAGGTCTACATGATGGTCCCACAGCATCTTTCACTATGCTGGGCCACAGTTATCTGCAATGAAGATGGGGGGGGCGTCTACAGGGGATCAGTGGCTTTCCTGCTGCCTTCTCAGGCTCAGTTTACCAGAGGAGTGCCTGACTGCCCTCCTACTCACAGGTATATAAGGCTTCATGGTTGTGGTCTTAATGACATTGGCCAGGAGCCAACAGAGTGATTGTGTATAGCAGGGGGTGCCTTCTCCTGTGACCCTATGAGAGTGCCTTCTGGGCTGGGCTGGCCTGTGACACTTTTGTGTAAATGTAAGTTTCTGCCCTGCCCGGTCCTGCAGCCGTTCAGTCCCAAATAAATACACAGAGGCTTTTATTAATTATAAACTGTTTGGCCTATTGCTCAGGCCTATTACTAACAAACTTTTACAACTTAAATTAACCCATAATTCTTATCTATGGTACCTTTTCTCAGTAAGGCATCCTCATCTTGCTTCCTCTGCGTCTGGATGGCGACTGTATCTCTGCCTTTCCTTTTCCCAGAATTCTCCTAGTCCGGTAGCCCTGCCTATACTTCCTGCCTGGATACTTGGCCCATCAGCATTTTATTAAACCACTATGAGTGACAAATCTTTACAGCGAACAAGAGCATTATCCTGTTTCACTTCTACTTTGGAAAGTAGGTTCCAAGTGAAGCTGGCTTCTGCAGGGTGACACTGAAGGCACTCAGGGAAGCCAGGGACCGGGAGGGAGATTTAAGGGTGGCTGGGAGCTACCTGTAGCCATGGCCTAAGCAAGGTAGACTCTGACCATGAGGAGCCCTTTTTCACAGTGGCTCTCTTGACTTCCTTTCTGGTGTCTAGGCCTAACACACAGAAGTCAACCTTGATTAGGCCATGGGTGTGGCTCATAGTCAGCCTCACTTCCCACCATTCCTGAGGCTGTTCTGCATTGGTCTCTGACTCCAGAGCCTTGGGCCCAGTAGCAGCTGTGGTGTTTCCTTGTGCAAGACGGCCTAATACAGAGTGATGCTGCAGACAGAGACAGCACAGGGTGGCTCCCACAGGCTACACTGGGATTCTCTGGGAATCCTGCCATAGACCCGAGGGAGCACAGCTACCAAAATGGACTGGCCTCTGGGAAGTCCAGACATCCAGCAGGTCCTTAAGCATCCTGTTTCTTGGGCCAGAGCAGCTTCCATTCCTTTTAGTCCAGTTTAACCTGGAGCTGTATCAGACCTCGTGGGTTGCCTGTGCAATGTCAGAGGCTCCATCACTCCTGCTTGCTATTGGCCCTCATTTGATGTCTGCAGATTGCTGAAGGCCACAAATGCAGGCACAGGGCTATCACTGACACAGCTGTCAGTGGTCCCAGAAGGAAAGAGAGAGAAAGGAGAGAGGAGGGAGGGAGGGAGGGGCCTAAGGGCATGTGTACACATATCCAAGCTGTCAGGACACCTAAGGTGTCTTTGGCCTGGAGGATGGAGGCCAGGGAAGCTTTCAGATGTGGATACAGCAGAGCAGGAAGGTTTGAGAACAAAGGGGATAGAGCATAGAGAAGGACCAGAAAGACTCTAAATTGGGGTGAGGCAGTGTCAAAGAAGGGATGCTTCAGGGCTATTTGGGGACGGCCTTGGATAACTGCAAGGACTTTCCATGTTCTACCACACACAGACCACAGTTCCGGGGTGATAGCCCCAGCAGCAAGAATCATGCATGGTCTGGAGCTGTGATGGCTGTATACATGTGCATGCAGACATGTAACTTGTAGATCATAACCAGAAAGCACAGGGCACTAGTCTTTATTTCATCTCTTTTCTCAGCATCACCTCTGACTCTCTGGGACCTGCCCTTAGTAGAGTCAGTCCGCAGCCTTGGGCACTGAGAGCTGGCCAAGTCCTTATTGTGCTTGTGAGACTGACACAAACTCCAGTGATCTCAAGGACCACCGAGGACACTGACAGTGGTCAAGGTCACTGAGCTTGGACAATCAGCCTAGGGTAGGGGGAAGCTTCATTTGGTGATATCATCCCAGTGTTTTTTGATTGTGGTCAACCTGATTGCAGGGGAGGGGGCTGTTTCCATCTAAGGGTCTCTGGGCCTGTTGCAAGGCCCACAGCACATGATCATGAGGGGATGTCTGCTTTCCTCTGGCCTCGGCCCACTGGCTCCTCTGGTCACGAGGGGTAGAACTGCCTGAGTAGCTCCTTCTTATTCACCTTGCCCATCTGGTTCCGTGGGATCTCCTCCACCAGCAGGAGCTCGGAGGGCACAGCATAGGGTGCCAGGACACCTCTGTAGAGACAAGCACAGCGTGAGATGACTCTGCCCAACCCTGGGTAATGTAGGCATCTGACACACCCAGCAGCCATCGTGGGCTCACACCCTGACTATGTGTTGGGTAGCAACAGGATGGCCACTTTGACCTTTGGAGGGAGGACTGTCCTCTTCTCCAGAGCCCCTTCCCCAGTGCAGGGATGTCTCTTTTCTGGTACTGCTGAGAATTCCTGCAAGTGCACAGGGATCTAGAAATGTGCTCTCTGTGTCGACTGAAACAACTGCACGGCTTTTATTCTGTAAACACGGCACGCTGCATGGATGGAGTTTTCAATGTTTAACCTCACATTCCTGGTATAAATGCCACACGATCATGATGTGTTGGCTCTTTTATGAATAGGACCTAATTTCCAGCATTTGGTTAAGCATTTTGTGTCTGTCTGATAGGAAACTGGTCTGGGTTTCTTGTCTGGTTTTGGTAGCAGGGTCGTGGGTCCCATGAAGTCAGCTGGGAGTGTCCCTCCCCACTGGAATGGACTTGTATGCACTTTGTGGAGTGTCCCCTGAGGTGCTCAGTATCATCTGCTGCCAGAGCCTTGTGGGCCTGGCATTTGCTTTATGGTAAAGTTTTTAGCTGAGAATTCATCTTCATAGACACAGCTTTTCGGCCTCTGGCTTTTGGGTTGGTTCTGGGACTCACGTCACTGGTATTACTAGATACAAGAACACACTGGAGGTTATGTGGTACCTCCTGAAGAACACTGGGATGCAGTGAGGTCACACCTCTGTGGATAGCAGCGACACCTGGGTTTTCTGTGCTTCTTCCTGAATCTCCCTTTCTCATCTCATAGCTCAGGCTGGCCTTGAACTTGCTATGTAGCCAATACTGGGTTGAACTCTTGATAATCCCAATTCTGTCACATAAGTGTTTAAATCACAGGTATGTGCCAGTGTCCAGCTTTTCCTTTCAATCAATGTGGAGAAATTTGGTGCTTTCTTTGTTAGTTTCCAGATGAGCACTCTTGTCTCTCTTTCCCAGCTGCCTCTCTGTGGCAACCGGACAGCATAGCACTGGGCCTGAGACGGCATGGCTAGCAGGACTCCGGGGGGGGAAAAAGTGTGGGTCACCAGCAGCAAGCAGCACCCATCAGGCATGGACATGACATCACATGAGGGTGAGATCGCCTGGGCCTCAAGGTCTCTGCAAGTGACAAGCTGGCCTTCCCTTGAAGGAAGAACCTGGAGACTTTGACACTGTTCTCTGGGGAGGGTGTAGGTTTGGGGGTTACAAGCAGGGTTATCTACTCAGGACTCCCCCCCCCCCCCAAGAAACAACTTGTGGCAAGGCTACCCACTGTGGGGGCAAAATCTGAGGGACAAGCAATGCCCCTGGGACAGTCTGCAACTTGGCTCTGCCCATATGTCTGGCAATCTTTGTGGCTGGTGTCCTGTTCTACACAGCTACATCTCCCAGGGTGCTCCAAACCTCAGCTCCCCATTATAGGGTCTTCTTATACTCACCATGTGCCTGATTACCCAAGCCTGGAGCCTGACTTGAGCCTTACAGTCAGGCCCTGAAACCGCACACTTGTGCGTGGACACAGGCCATGGCCTAAGGAATCCAGGCCAGTGTAGGACCTCCACCCAACAACTACTGTGGCTCTCAGCAGAGGATGCCGGGGTGTTTTTCTTCTCAAGAAAGTAATTGTTTAATCAAAGCAGCGACCGGCCAAGCAGACTGTTGCCTCTGCTAAGCTATAGAGCTCCAACTGTGATTTTGCAAATCCAGGGGAATCGGTAATTGCCCAGCTGTGAGGCCCCTGATGAAACAAGGACTCCTGCTGTTTGTGAAGTCTTGTTGGACAGCCAAAAATAGTCTTACGAGAAGAAGGCAAGGGGGTGGGGGCAGGAGGAGACGGCAGAAAGGAGAGAACTTCTCAGATTTAAAGAAGGAACCCAGAGCTATCCTCTCTGGCCACAGTGGAAGCTCAAAGTGTCTAGCTCTGCTGTGGAGGTCCCGGTGAGTCCCCTCTGTCCTGTGGATCCCGGAGGACATCAGAAACCACCAGGGGCGGAGATGAGAGAACTAGAGTCTAACACTAAGACTGGAGGGTGGGGAGGGGGAAGCCAGTATGTTGTCAGTGGCACAAACTGTTAATCCCAGCTCTCGGGAGTCAGAGGCAAGTGGAGCTCTGAGTTCAGGGCCAGCCTGGTCTACAGGGCAAGTTCTAGGACAGCCTGGGCTATTACACAGAGAAACCTTGCCTCAAAAAAACAAAAAACGAGACAAGCAAGTACAGGTGAAAGGTCAGAAAAAGTCCCCACCCTGGGTCTGAGGAGGGAGCTGCCATAGTCCACAGGCACCAAGAGCTAGGAGGACACCAGGCTTTGAAGGGCCCACAGAAAGGGTGAGGCACCAAGGCCACCCTCAGGGCAGGAACAGAAAAGGATGCTGGGTCCAAGCTATTCTGTGGCAGACTGTGCAAGTCTGGCCGGGGAGGGAGAGGCTATTTTTCAGCTCAGCACAAGCCAGGCATTTTCCTGGGGGTCCTCAACCTCACAATGCTTTGGAGTTTATCTGTAAGTTGAGAAACACACATCTATGCCTCACACTACTACTGACTCCCAACCCAGCTTGCAGGTGGGGGCCCTTCCTGTTCCCAGGTGTGTGCTTAATGAGGAGGAAAGACCCAGAGCTGTTCAAACACTCCCTACTGACCTTTCCAGCTTCCTCTCTCCCATGGCCAAAACCCAGAATGGTCTACCCCCACTTTCCAGCTCCTGAACAGGCCCTTCCCATCCTCCTGATTCCAAGATAGTCCCTTAGATACCCTAGAACCCAGGACAGTACCTTTAGCCCTACCTGGCCCACTCCTTGAGATCCCTGTGGGACAGTGAGTGTCCTTCTTGAAGGGCCACCACGGCTGTGACCCGCTGGCCCCATGTCATATCCGGAACTCCAATCACAGCCACATCTGAAGACAGTAGAACAGGTTGAGGACAACTGGGAAGGCCTGATGGCAACTGTAGGCTGCACAGCACTCAGGAATGTGTGGGTGATGCCAGGCAGTTAACTGCAGTACCCGAGCGCCTGAAGCAAGACCTGTGGGAATGACCCTCATGGGAATGGGACAGCATCTCTAGGGGCTCGGCTTGCTCTTGCTTGACTGGCAGAACAGGTGTGCATTCTGGCCAGGCCTGCAGGTCACTCTGGTGTAGCAGGCAGCAGCCTGGGATTGCCAGCAGGATCCTGTGTGCTGAAGGCCAGGGAGGGAGCATGAACACATTTCACAGGATCACTACCAGCAGGTGGAAGAGGGCCCTTAACAGCCAGAGCATCATAGGGTAGAAAAGGTGACACTGTGTCTTGTGGGCAGTGCTCTACTAAACCTGAGCTCACCATTCACTCACCTGTGATGCTGGGGTGGGCCAGCAGGTGCCGCTCAATCTCCAGGGCGCTGACTTTATAGCCTCCAGTCTTGATGATGTCCACTGATGTACGACCTCTGATCCAGTACCTATCATCCTTGAACACGGCAGTGTCCCCTAGAAAAGGGGGTTCTGTGATGGTTCTGGACAGTCTAAGAATATCTGGTCACAGGAGACCTTGGTGCTCCTGATCATCACCCACAGGGGTCCTCAGCGGCCACACGCACATGTGTGAGTACCGCTATTTCCAGTGTCCAGGCCCACTTCCTTTGGGGGCTGGTCCTAACAGCAAGTGTCCCTATCCATTCTCTATCCCTATGACACTGACACTCTGCCCCACAGTCAGCAGTGGGGAGTGGATCCCACGAGAATCCACAGCATGCTGGGAACCTACTGGGTCTTTGGAGTCTGGAAATATCCTGAATTCGTAAGCCGGCATGGCCATGTTTGTATCAGAGCAATCAGCAACAGTGTGCAGCATTTTCAAAAGGCAGCAGGAGTCAGTTTGCTGCCTGCGACCCTGACTCAGGATGAATTACACCAGGAAGGCATAAGCCTTGACGCCAACACAACCCACGCACAGCTCCACATGGACACATGCAGGGCACCTCCTCAGTGTCCCACTCCTGTCCACACACTCTCTGTCATCCTACCACGGGTGGGTCCTGGGCAAAAGAATGGTCATTTTCAGCTCCTTCCCAGCATGGGGATGCCCTGTGATGAACGACCTCCAGCTCTTCTGCACTTGACCCCCACCGTCCCCAAATAGCTACAGTGCCTTTCTCCCCAAGCAAATTAACTGCCCCACTTGCTCCTTTCACATGGAGCCTGGGACCCAGGGAGCTTGTCACACCCCACAGAAACACTGGCGGTGCCAGGAGTAGGGACCAGGCCAGAGCACAGGGCCCTATTTCCAGCCGAAGCTCCCTCCTGCACAGTGGTGTGGGGGAGGTGCGTGTGCATGGCCATCACACACATTTGCATGATTATGACTGTGTGTAGGCATGCAGATGTCAGCGGCAGCTCTGACAGCAGCGGTGTCTGTTCACACGCTCCCTGCACTCCCTGTGGGTTATTAGCTGGAATAAATCATAAATATTTCATTATACATCAGGCAGTCCGACATGGGAAGGCACCATCCATCACCTCGCTACTCCCTGGGACTTGCAGTGCAGGGCGCACTCCAGTCTATCAAACAAGATGGATGGGTGGCCTGGGTGAGCCCAGGGCTTATTTATGGTAGAGAGGGAAGGCTGGCCCCTGGAGCAAGGACTGGCACTGGGCAATTCTCTCTCCAGTGTGGCAGCTCTGTATGTAGCAGGTGGCAGAAGAGCTGGATGGATAGCCTCAGCCTAGACTAGGATAGCCCCTTGGGCAGGTGTTGACTGAAGGGAAAGGACCCAGGTGTGGGCTATGGGGTATACATGGCTTGTCCTGAGTCCTAAGGGACCCTCTATGATCCCAATCCTGTTGTAGCTCCGGGTCCAACTGTGCCCCCTCAGACTGGAAAGTTCAGTCTTCCATTGGCTTCCCCTACCCTGTAGGCATCAGGTTACTCAGTCTCCACAGCGAGGTGGCAGCCTGGTATTGAGGGCCCCAGCAGGAAGCTCCCTGATGCTGCTCCCCACGGGCCTCCACTTACTCTAAGATGAAGCACAGCAGAGCCACTACCCTGCCCTTAACATGACCTCTCCTTTTGGTCTTAAAGGGGTGCCATGCTGCTCACTTGCAAGGCTCCATACTCTCTCTGTGCAGTTCCGAAGTATGACTTTTCTAGTGCCCCGCACTGTTACACTTTGATCTGGTGAGAGCCCTTGGGATGAAGAATTCTGCACACACCAGGTGGTGGTGGTGGCACACACCTTTAATCCCAGCATCTCAGGAGGCAGAGGCAGGCAGATCTCTGAGATTGAGGCCAGCCTGGTCTACAGAGCAAGTTCTAGGACATCCAGGGCTCCAAAGAGAATAAAGGAAAAAAAAAATTCTGCACACACCAGTTTCTGCTTTGAGGCTGTGTTCCCATGCTGCTCTTTTCTCTCTGGAGAGAAGAGATGTGGGCATCGCTGGGCACAGTCTGTTCTCTAGGTGGACCCAATGCTTCACACTGCCAGTGCTTGAGGACTGGCTCTTGCTTCTGATAAACAGGATCACACAAGGGGAAGTCAGGGTGATTGCCCCTCAGGGAGGAGATGCTGTGGATCAGAGAGGGGAGAGCATGTGACTAGCTCTCTGTGCAAAGGCTGAAGTGAGGAGGAAGAATGAGACCAGAGACAATGGTGCAGACAGGAGGATGTACAGAGGGCGGAGGCTGCCCCACAGCAAACACCTGTCATGGGAATGCTGGGCACATTCTGAGGACACCAGCTCTGCAAGGCCACCCCTGAAGCATGGTAATAGTAGCTGCTATGAGCACAAAGGATGGGTACTGTCCATGGCTTGGAGACAATGTAGGATGATGGGTACCAGTGGTCTGTCTACCTTAGTGTCCCCTCTGGGTCTGGAAGGTACCTGTGTCAGCAGCATTACTGGGAGGAAGGAGTTTAGAATTGAGTCTTTAGGGTGCCTGAATTGGCCATCTACTATAATCAGATTGGTAACTACCCTAATTGTCGTCAGAGATACTCTATCTTGTAACTGATGGAAGCAGATACAAAGATCCACAGACAAGCACTGGGCTGAGTGCTGGGAGTCTTGCTGAAGAAAGGGAGGAGGGACTTATGAGCCAGGGAGGTCATGATGGGGAACCCAAAGACATAGCTGACCTGAGCTCATGGGAGCTCATGGACTCTGGACCAACAGTTAGGGGGCCTGCATGGGACCAGCCTAAGCCCTCTGTATGTGTGAGACAGTTGTGTAGCTTGGTCTCTTTGTAAGGTTCCTAGCAGTGAGATCAGGACCTGTTCCTGGCATTTTGCTGGATTTTGGGAACCTGTTCCCCATGCTGGGTTACCTCATCCAGCCTTGACACAAGGGAGGCTGCCTGGTCTTGCCTCAACTTGATGTGCATGCTTCGTTCAAGCCCATGGAAGGCCTGTCCCTTTCTGAATGGAGAGTTGTGGATGCAGTGGGGGAGGAGGTGGGTGGGAAGTGGGATTGTGGGGTGGGGGAATGGAAACAGGGGCAGAGGAAGGAGGGGAAACTGTTGTTGGTGTGTAAAATAAATGAAAAAAGTGTTATTTAGCTGGGTGGTGGTGGCACACGCCTTTAATCCCAGCACTCAGGAAGCAGAGGCAAGTAGATCTCTGTGAGTTCAAGGCCAGTCTGGTCTGCACAGCAAGCTCCAGGGCAGACTCCAAAGCTTCAGAGAAAGCCTGTCTCAAACAAAACAAAACAAAACAAAAACAAACAAACAAACAAAATAATTGAGCCTCTGGTTATGACCAAACCTCTTTGACTTGGCTGTCCTTTCTAATTACTCATGATCTGTCTATGGAACCACTCGGTATAACTGTGGAGGCCATACTCAAGTGTTCCCTCTGCCCAATGCCATGCTGCTTACAGCTCCCGATTTCCCACAGTCCAGAGGATCTCAGCACTAGTGTGCTCTCACAGCTCTGACAATACTAAGGAGTCTGAGCCTCTGGGGGTGAGCTTGGCCTGGATCAACCTTGGTCATGGAGATGCCTAAATCTCAAGCCGGTGCCTATGGCTGGGTGACATTCATGCTGAGAAAGCACCGGGGCCTCTGCAATGCTCTGGTTAAGAGCATCACCAGCCCAGGCCTCCATTTCTACTCGTATGACTGGATTCCATTCTGCTGAACAGTCATGTTCACTGCAGAGTCTGATGCGGGGCAAGAAGCCGAGGTCTCCCATCAACACCCCAACCAGAGCAGGGTCCATGCCTTTTGCATTGTGGTACTGTGGCAGCTCCATGGCTCCAGCTATGTTTTTGCTCTTGTCATTGAGTCTTAGGGACACTACTTTCTCCAGGCCACTTGGTGCCCTTAGCCTTCAGAGGCTTGAAGGACCAGCAGAGTAAGTCAGTGTCGGGGTCTTGTAGATGAAAGGGGTAAATTAAACTAAAAGGCTTTACTTCTAGGAATGAAGGGACCAGACCCTCACTCAGCCCCTGCTTTAGCAGCCATGACAGGCTACAGAAAAGACATGTAGGCCTCTGACACAAGGAAACTTCAGACCCTCTGGCCTCCTGGAGCCTAGGGCCAAAACTGAGCACAAAGAAACTCCAGATCCCCCACCCCCACCCCCTCCAGTCTCCTAGATACTTGGTTCCTGGGGACTGTTTGGCCACAAAAGAAACTCCAGGGGAGACCAAAACCTCCCCTATAGTCACCAGGATACAGTTTTGAAAACTATTGGTATCCATGAACAACAGGCTACCTGCAAGTAACAAGACAAAGCCATAGAAATCACAGAATGTTCCCTCTCAACACTGACCAATGAGAACAATTGGTACACAGGTATTTCATGCCAAAATATGACTTTGAGAAATTCTCCTAATTGTTCCCAAATGTCAACCAATCAGAAACCAACCTGTACCTACTGATGTAATCCTGTAACTTTTGTCTTTAAAACCTAGCAGTAGACAGGGAACTTGGCTCCCTCTGGAGGCTGCTGACAGTTAGCCAGACAGGGTCCCTGTCATGGCTGGATGAAAACCTTGCTTTTGCAGTTTGGTGGGTCTGTCTTCCTGGAGGTCTCTGTGACTTGGGCACAACAGTAGACTGTAGGAAATTACGAGCTGTACGCAGCATGGCATCAGACAGAGGGAAAACCCAGGTGTGGCCTCCAAGGTTATCCACAGAGTAGCTTCAGTGGACAGATCACAAGCTTCAGATAGCCAAGCCAAGGTTGAAGGTAAGTTGTAACCAGAGGCTTGATTCTTGGCTTCATCCTCCAGTAATGCTGCTGACACAGGTACCTTCCAGCCACAGAGGGGACACTAAGTATCCATGTCCTCACAAAACCTAGGTTTTGGAATTCAGAGTACATGGGAGTGTATGATGGTGTTCCCCAGTGGAGACAGAAGCAGTACCTGGTTATTCCTGCTGCCAGCCAGTCACACAGTTCTTTTGCTCCAGGGCACTGTGCTGGGTCTTTACTCCACAAATGGCTGAGCACCAGTGGCTCCATATAAGAACTACTTGAGATGTGCTC